TTTTTTTTTTTTTAAAAAAAAAAAAATAAATAAAAAATTAATAAAAAATAAAAAATAAATAAAAACTAAAAACGGATTATGAAAATCCGGCCGTTTAATTCATTTCCACAATTTTTTTTTTATTTTTTGCCACAAATTTTTATTTTTTTTTATATAAATAAGCCACCCGGAATGATTGAGCCCGACCATGTAAAGAGAAGATATTTGTAGACATGTTTGATTAATGTCCCCAATGAAGCTTAAGCTTAATTTTTTTTTATTATGTTTGCTATTAGTCCTATCAAGATATATACATCCAATATCAAACTGGTGATCCAAGGTCGAATAATTCAATTATTGCATTCAACATTAGTGTGTCACGACTCACTTTTAATACAAATTGATTGTAGTTGGTGGGCTACTGCCGTTATTCTTAGTCGGGTATTACGTGATCCACACGTATGCCCAAAAGACCCTACCCCTGGAGAGAAAGATGCTCACCTCGAAGAAGAAGATTAATAGGGCAAACAATGTCATGGCGTGCAAAATATAAGATATACAGGAGAAGCATGCTTAAACTTTTGCACTCATAGCTTTTCAACTAAACCTCCAATGATCAATTCATAAAGCCCACCAACATTTTCAGGCGAGCAAAGATTCTCCAAGACACTTCTAATTAGCTTCAAGTAAACAAGAAAGGCGTTCATGGTTTAGTATTAAACAAAAAAATATTGCTTGCTTGAGCCATAATTGATAACAATGAAAGAAATTGATCGCCCACGAGCCACAACTAAACAAGTTGCATACTGATAGCAAATGGAAGTGCCTGCTTTTTAGTGATATTATCCAATAGCTACAGGCAACTAAACAAGAATAAAAGACCCAAACATTCAACCATAATCAACAGATGTTGCCACCTGGAAATGACAAAAACATATTTACATGTTATACAAGAGTTCACAAAACTATTAAGCACATTTCTCAGTCACTAATTTCAGCCACTGTAACATATGTTACAAAAGAAATCATCTATAAATCTAAGATCATTGATAGACATCAATATCATTGCATTTGCAAGACTCATCCCCGACTTATGCTCCCAAATCCTAATACAAAACCCACACAATACCAAGTTCTTCATACCGTCATGCTCGAGAGTCAGCCATCAGCGAGGGCTTCTGGTTTGTGAGTGCAATTGCAAGCATTAGTAGAGTGATCCCTTATACTAGAAGCTCTTTACAGAAAAAATAAAATGTATGCAATCAACCATGCTTAGGAAAAGAAGAGATGAGGAGACATGATCTTTGTCGGGGCTTGCGAAATTCATAACAGGTTGCATTACCAAGCACGTTAAGAGTTCACGAGCAATGCATCTGACCAAGGGGCATTGGACATCCCTTGGTGAGGTCCGAGCACAACAGCTAAAAGCCCACCCATGAGCCGTTGAAGAACCTGCATATGAGAATGTATTAGACATCATGAAAAAACTACCAATAACAGATGATTTGACATATTCCTTCAAATTAGAACACCTCTGCACACGGGCGGACGCAGACTTGCAAGACTGAGGGGGCACAAACGTAGTTACATAAATTTAAATCTCATTAAAAAAATGAATTATTTTATAAATGTTCTTATATATTCTATCACTCATAATTACATAAATTCAAATCTCATTAAATATATATTTTTCAAATACCAATATATTTTGTTTCTTGTGCATTGAATATTCTTACAACGTCAGCATTCATGGACTTTCTTATAAAGATAAATATTTTATTAGTTAAAAAATCAATGACAAACACAATTTAGTAGCTAATTTAAAACTTATAATTCCTAAAATTCAATATGTATCAAAATCAATATCTACTTTTGTGAAAAATCGATGTAACTAATTTATAAAACATAGTACAAATAGAAAATGCAAATAACTTAAATTTGAGAAAATCTCTCTGTAATTATTTTACAATATATTTATATATGTACTTTTTTTAAAAAAAATTGCACAGGGGCCCGTGCCCCTATGGGCCTCTGCCTCGGTCCGCCCCTGCCTCTGCACCTTGTACTCACACTCTGGAGATATCAAAGCAGGGTGAAGCTCCTTAGAGGCCATAAGATGGTGTTTCAATCTTTCATCCCTTTCTTCACAAGACAACTCTTATATCCTGGGTCCGGGTCGTCGGGATTTGGGAGGTGGAGTTTGTGGTGTTTTCTCCGGCTGCGGGTATATGGGTTGTTACCCGGGCGAGGTTGTCGGTTCTTTAGTCTTGAATCTGGTTAAGCGATTATCTGCAATTTTTGGCTTTGAGGCTTGGATCAGGTCTCTGTCCGTATGGGTGACCGCCCATAGGTGTCGTCGTCATTGGTGTTCTGTTTGGTTTAGCTGTTGTTGGAAGGGCTATAGTTTACTTATATTGTTTTGTGTTTGTGTTCGTGTTGTAAGAGTGCGTTTATGTTTTTTCTCCCCGATTTTAGTTTTTAGGAGTGTTGATTATCCCGATGAGGAGTGTTGATTCTTCTGTTGGGGTGCTTGTATTCTCTCATTAGGGAGTTTTTGTGTGTTTTGTTTTGTTGTGTCGTGGTATTTAGGCTACCTTTGGATGTTGGTAGACCTTTCTTTGTTCAGCTAGTGAGCCGATTGTAAGTATGTGTTTTAGTAATGAATCTATCGTTTGAAAAAAATAAAAAAAAAATGATTTGGCAAAGTATTTACAACAGAATATTTACAAATTCTATAACATTCAAGAGGTAAGCAAAACAACAGCTTCTGCTTTCTCTCCGGTGTTAACAATAGGCCTTTGTTGATCAAAATTAAAGCTGTAGAAGCATTGAATATATCCAACAGAATGCCACCTAATTGTACAGTAGTAAGCAATATATTTAATTTTACTCGAACATCTATTTCTTCTTCTTCGACTTCGCTTAGGTTGATTTTTGGATGCCTTTATAACTCTGCAGCAGCTGCTGATATCCTCAGACGCCTGCAATAGATTGTTGCTTATAAAAATTACACGTAAACATCATGTTCCACTCCCAAATAATATAAATATTAATAGCACATGATTCTGATCATAATCCAACTTCAAGAAAAGCGGGGTTGAAATTGCAGGTAAAGGGTGGTTGTACCTTGGCAGATACTTCCAATGATTTCTTGTAAAGATACTACAGCCTGTCACGGAAACTCACAGTTGAGGGTATAAGTTACATAAACAAGCGTTTGTTGCCAAAAATGTTACAAAAAATTTTCCGATAGTTCTCTACACTCCATCAACATAACAGCGTTTCAAAAATATGAACACAAAAGATTTCCAACTGAATGCCCATCTGGGAAACATATTAACCACCTTAGGCAATTTAATTTCTCTCAAAACTGTGAAGTTCACCCCTTCTGCTTCCCAAAACGAATCATCTTGATGGCAACTGTTTGCCCTGTCTGCTCATGAAATGGAATAGAAGAATGTAGTAGTAAACAGAGACAACTCTTTTACAAACACACAAGCCATAAGATTGATGAAATGCAAAATCCTCCAGAATCCCACACCCATAAAGACTAATATAATTCAATCCTCAGTCTTTTCCGAGTACACTGAATACGTGAAGTAACGATACATGAAGCCTAGAATAGCAATCATTTGACAGATGTAGGTTGGTAACATCAACAAGGATACAACTCGAATTGAAACATAGACGAGGCCCAGGAGCTCAGAAAAGTAAGCACACAGCAAAATGTAACGACGGTAATGAAAACGCATAAAAGAAAAATATACTTGTTTATTTGGTGTACCAATGAAGATGCTTGCTCATAGTACTGGGCTGCCTTAGCAAAGGAACCTTTAGCTTCGTCAAAGGTCGGGGCATAAATGCACTCGTTGTATATGCATTTCGAAGAATCCATAGAGCATCATGCTTTGCAGGATTAACATCTACTGCCTCTTCTAGCTTGTCAATAGCATCTACGAAACATAAGAAGCTCAAATTTTATTATCAGACTAAAAATTTCAACTTCACCACCAAATAAACAAGCCAAAAAACACATAATCATTCAATATGTAAATCAATGTAGATTAACCTCTGCTCATTCAAACATCCAGATTCCACCAATATTAACAAAACTATTTCTCATATGCTACAGAAGAATCATATTCTAACAAGAACAACTACGAATTCTCATGGAACTCCAACGTTTTGCAAATGAAAACTTATAGCTCCTCATTCCAAATACTCAATCCATATTACCAACTTCATTATCCTAAATCCCCCATTAGCTTCACAAGCACGAAAATCCATTCACATTTTTAACAAAATTAACGCATAATGCGCAATTTACACAAATCAAGGCAGCATAAAACTTAAAAAAGTACAATCGATAGAATAATTGATTTGCCTTGAACCATCTTCTTCGAGTCGGGATCAGTTTGAAACTGTGATAGCTCGAGCAACATGCATCCCCATATAGTTAGATTCTGCAACAAACCACAAATAATGATTTTTAAACTCAAAAACCACAATCAAACACAAGTAAAAAGCTGATGCGAACATCGGCGTCCATAGGGTTTTTAGCATATGTAGCTTCTGCACTCCTGCGCGCATGCTCGAAGGAAAGAATGCGACTAAAACCGTTGGATAAAAATTCAAAACAATCTCACAATACAAGAATTAAAAGAAAAGAGAGAAAATGTCCTATTTAATGAATTTCAAACAGAGAAAAAACTGAAGTCATAGTCATCTGAATCAACTTCACGGTTACCATACTCAGGCATATTAGCTAATCAATAGTTCATGGAGTACAATATCATCTTCTAAGTTCAGTAAATTCAGTACATATGACCACAAAGCAAAAGCCTAAAACATCACTAACCACACCAAAGTTACTTAGGGGGTGATTGTTTATGGATTCAACTAGTTTTTATTTGGTTTGTTTTAAACTATAGTTAATATAAAAAAAAAATGTGGTATGGTTAGTTGTTAGTGGATATATTAAAATAATATTTGAATAAAATAATTAAAGTTAATTTGATGTAAAGTATGAGAAAAATGATTAGAAATGATAGTTAAATTTATGTGAGTGGATAAATAGTGAATTAAAGTTGATGTGATGTGTAAGAATGATTGGTTGATATTATTTAATTATATTGATAATATGAGATAGTGTAATTGGGTTAACGTTGAGTTAAATTTGAGTTTTAATTAGTTTTTTTACTGTACAAACAATAAACAATCGCGCCCTTAATAACCAAATAACTTACCAAACAAACAAGAAAATTAAGAACAACAAAAGTTCTCACAAATTTGCAGAGAAATTGCCAGGAAACGGCAAAGGTTATCCCGATCGTATTCAAGGGCGGAAACAATCTTGAGACCTGGTACAACACACGTTTTAACTATTACAGTTCAGAAAAAATGCAGCTTGCGAAAGCCAAAACCACAAAAACACACAGTAGTAGAAAATGCAATTGTGAATTCAGATAAGAAAAGCACCTTGTCAGGAGGAGAGCGGCAGTACAAAGAGGCAGCCGTGGAGGATTAAGAAGAGCACGACGGCTCTGTCATTGACGGCGCCGGCGGTGGTGGTGTTCGTTTTGCGCCCATTTGGCCCTCCATACTCATTTGCTACTAACCTAAAA